CATGCAGGTTTGCCAAGCCTACCCCGAAGAGCAGTATCAAGCTGGAATGTTCCGTAGGGGAGGGATAGTAGGCTGTATGCGATCGACTTGGAGTAAGCCGTGGCTTGCCTCACTGTGCGCGCGCCTGTTGCAGCATCACGCACCTGATGCTACCTTCACGTCGGTGTGTTTGTCCAACTCGTGTCAAAAGGACATTCACACTGATTCTTCCAACCTTCCGGGAACTACAAATCTCATCCTACCAGTGTGTCTTCCTAAGCGTGGGGGCGATCTTTGGGTTGAGTTAGGTAGTGGGGATGTTGTTAGGGGGTCTATTGTAGAGCACACTGATGCACGAGGTCGCAAGCGTCACGGTGTGGTGCACAGACTTGAAGAGGATGAAGTTTTCGAGTTTGATCCTAAGCGGCATCATTTCGTAACTCCCTTCAAGGGCACCCGCGTCGTTGTTATAGGCTACACTTCCGACGTGCTTGGAAAGGCCGAAAAAGATGACCTTGACGGCTTAGCAGATTTGGGATTTCCTCTCCCAGACTCCGCCTATCTCCAGGCCCCGCGTCTGTCTCAAGTACAGGAGGAGGAGGAGGCCACTGAGGCTCATGAGATCCCTATCCATCAACACCCTAGCTTCCCGGAGAGCCAACCCGTCAACAAAGGTGGTGGTTGGCAAGAGGTCTTTCCAGTTGCAGATGGGTTTGTAGACTTCGCTGTGAACTGGTCGTGTTCGTATCGGCCAGTTGCCCCTGTATGCAGCCCCTCTAAAGAGGAGGCCGGACCAGAGCAGAACCAAAGACCCGTTGAGATTGATGAGGCCTGGCCGGTTACTGTGTCTTGGGACATGTATGTTCCGCAGGAGCCCATGAGCGATGCCGCAAACGCCAGCAACTGCAGTTTGAGGGTGCTTAAGGTTGTAGAAAGTGGTTCGCGGAGCTCGTTAGAGGAGGAGGGTTTCGTAAGCGAAGGTAGACCCGTAATCCCCTACCGCCTGTGCAAAGCCGAACCGACGTTCACGAAGAACATAGAACACCTTCTAAGCAATCTAAGCTCACCTCTGCAAATCGTTCACACTGTAGACCCCGCAGAAGTCGCACTCAATCCAATCCCTTGGATTCCGTCCATTGAGAAAGAAGTAAAGGCCATTGAGCATGCGGTGCTCAGACTGCGCCCTTCAGACCCCAGGCAGGCCGAGTACTTGAGTGATCCTCGACTGCAGGTGGTACCTTCCAAGTTTGTGTTCACAGTGAAACCGCCCGACCAAGGGGCAGCAGCTGTTGGTGACACTGGAAAGCTTGCGCTCACTCAGCCCGACAACAGTACAGAGGCCCTTCAGGGCGCTCCAAAGGCTTCGTCGCAAGGCCAAAGTTTGTACCGTCGGAAAGCGAGACTTGTTGCTTGCGGAAATGTGGCGCCAAATACAGGCTTGGATGTGTATGCTGGAGGTGCTCAGGCTGAGAGCTTGAGAACAGTGATTGCCCTGGCAAGCTTCTTTGGTTGGTTGTTGGGAGTGTTGGATATCACCAGCGCGTTCCTCAAAACGCCTATTCCTTGTCTTGAAGGTTTCCCCATCTTTGCGTTGACCCCGCCCCGCTTGTTGGTCAAGCTTGGTCTTGCAGTTGCACATGAGCTGTGGATACTATCCCACGCGGTTTACGGCCTTCGAGAGGCCCCGCGCTTGTGGGGACAGTATCGAGATGCTTGTTTGGCAGCGTTGGTGTGGGACCTTGACGGCGTGACCTACCGGCTTGAGCCTTCGACCCTAGACCCGAACTGGTGGAAAGTCGTCAGGGTTGAAGGTGGTCGCGTTGAGGGCGCATTGTTGGTGTACGTTGATGACTTCTTGTTGTGTGGGTCGCTAGGTGTCCTTCAAAGTTTGGCAAAGGCTCTGCAAGAAAAGTGGGCCACAACACCGTTTGTGGTAGCTACCCCAGAGCAGCCGATCAAGTTCCTTGGCGTGGACATCATTGTCATTCCTCGTGGGTTTGTTCTCTCACAGCAGTCGTACGCAGAAGAAGTCTTGCGGCTTCATGAGGTACCTTGCCACGTGAGGGGTAGAATCCCTTGTCCTCGGGAGCTAGCGTCGTTTGAAGTTGGCGAAGGAGACTCCAGCCCCCCTGACGGGGAGGCCGTTCACCGCGCGCAACAGGTGACTGGTGAACTGCTGTGGTTGTCTCAACGTACTCGCCCGGACCTGGCGTTCACTGCCAGCTTGCTTGCTAGTTTGTCTACGAAGGCGCCTTGTCGTGCTCTACGCATTGCTGACCGTGCCTTGGCTTACTTGCAGCGAACCAAGACAGCGTCGCTGGTGTTTGAGGCGGACGGAACCCAACTTCACGGTTGGAGTGACGCAAGCTTCTCGCCAGAAGGCCTTCGCTCACATGGAGGCTGGTGCGTGTGTGTGCATGGATGTCCAGTTGCTTGGAGGTCGGCGCGTCAAGCTTTTGTGACACTTTCTACTGCTGAAAGTGAACTCACTGCTTCGATTGAGTGTGCAATCGCGCTTGAATCAATTGAGGCGTTGCTTCACACGGTTGGTTTTGACGTTGCCGAAGAAAGGGTTTTGCACGTTGATTCCCAAGCGTCACTTGCGATTTCTGATGGTCATGGATCATGGAGAACGCGACACCTACGGGTAAGAGCTGAGTACCTTCGTGAGCAGACTCGCTCTGGGAAGCTGAGGCTTGCCTTCTGCCCGGGTGTGGAACAGCTTGCAGATCTACTGACCAAACCTCTTCCGTCTGCAAGGATTGAAGAGCTTGTCAGGTTATGGGGCATGCGTGACTTTGCGGGTGATACAGCCGACCGAGAGGTCAGGCCGAGCTCGTCAGCAGCTGTCGACCCAGTCGCGTTGAGTGCCTTGTTGTGTTTGCTTCAAATCCAACCTGCACGAAGCTCAAGCCGTGAATCCGAGTATCCTGGCTTGCAGCTTGATGGATCCCTGGAGCTGTACTTCGTTCTTGGCATGGCATTGGTTTGTGTCCTTGTTGTGTGGGAGTGGTTGAAGAGATTGTGGGATCGGCTTGATGCGTGGTGGGCTGGTTCGCATGCGTCGTCTCGTCGAGCCCGTCGTTTGAGGCGTATGCAGAGAGCTGTTGAGGATGAGCTTGCTGCCCAACTGCAGGGCATGAGTCTTGAGGACGTGTCTTCCAGACCACCAGCAGGTGAGTCCACAGCTCACAACGAGAGGGCACCTGTGCCTTCGCAGTCCTCCCACGAGTTGCCTGCTGCACCACGGCCCAAGGCCACACAGTCTCGTCGCCGCCCTGCAGTGCGTGAGCAGTCTACTCAAACGGATCGTGAGCCTGCTTTCCAACCAGTCACAGGAGTCCCACCAGATCCGATGCCTGCCAGGATCGAAATCCGCACGCAGTATGAACTTCCCCAAGGTCCCTTTTACTTCACTGCGCACGGGGATTGTGTTCATCTAGATTCTAATTGTTGGGGTTTAAGGCGTAATACACCCTTAACTACCCGCAACTTGTGCCGTGTTTGCAGAGACCGCCACCGCACAGGTCTCTAAAGGCAAGCCAAGGTTCAAGGCTAGAGGTCCCAGGAACGGGCATGCTGTAAATAGTGCAGCGTGTGCTAGTTGCCTGTCGGCTCTAGCAAGGAGGAGTGTTGAAATGCTTCTCACTGCATGCCCAGGTATCAGGTTAGACAGGTGTGTAGTCTGCTTGAAGGGATTGCCGGCACTTGTATAGTTTCCTTCAGGTAGGCTTGTACATGTGTGTTTCCTGTATCCTTTGGCTTAGGGGAAGGCTGCGTAGGAAAGCCTCTTGAGCCATGTGTACTGTAACCAACAACTTGTAAAGCTGTACAGGTCGTTTGTTGGTTTGTCGGTTCTCTTGTTGCTTCGTTGAGATCGTGAGTCGCCTCTGCGCCCAGCCATAGAAAACATTCTGCGTGAGCTTCGCTGCAGGGTATGGCCACCCAGGGTGAACACCTTCAACAGATTCCTTTAAGGGATCTATAGGGGGTTTAGGGTTTAGGATGATATAAATCCTGCATTACCCATAATAAGGAATATACCATAATTCCCGTAGTTCAGGGTCCTTAAGAAGGTAATGCAGGAATTATATCATCAACTGAATGGCTGCTGTAGCCCTAGGGTTAAAAGGGCTCATATAGGGTCCTTTAAAGGGATTGATATGGGGTCCTTTGAAGGGATCTATAGGTTTAGGGATCTAAGGACTCATATATTAAGGCTTTTGGGCCCGATCCCTAGGGTAGTATCATGCAGCATCTGGGGCTTAGGGTCTACCGTTGAGGGCTCAAGTTTAGGACCGTTTAGGGTTTGGGGCTTAGTCTCACGCCTTTTGCTGGGGACGCAGCTTATTCCACGTCGCGCTGTAACGTTTTTGGGTAGTATAGCCCCTATATCATCCCTATATAACCAAAAAGGTTAACCGTTAACCTTTAGTTCCCCATGATACCTGACAAGTAGGGATTGGACTCAAACCCCCAAGCCAGAAAGCTTTTCTGCCCTCCAAAGACACAACACAGGGGCCTTCATAATTACCTATACTATTTTGGAGGTTCCTTGTTATAGTTCTAGCAGGTTTAGCCCCGAGCCCTGTTCTAATGAGTAAGGCCCCTATACTATCCGCACGGATGAGACGGCGCACCCTCAAACTCAAGTCCTGAGGCAAGCCTTACATCGAGTTGCACGCGCCGGTAGTAACTCTAAACAGATGCTTCTAACAAAGCCCGGACTCTCTTGAACCGCTTGAAGCCTAAACCCTGTGCAGTATCACGTTTGTTGTAAAAGCCCGTAGTCCGAAATGCCAGGAGCTCCATACAAAGCTTTGAAGCTCAGCGTCCTGAGCCCCCTTTGGGCCTTTGGGCAAGGCTTCGTCCCAGTACAAAAGTTGCACTTCAGCCACCCAGCGCTCCTTCAAAACGCTGTAACAGCCGTGTAGGAAGCACCTTCAAGCTTTTTCCGACAGTTTCAAGCACCACCGAACCCTGTTAGAATTTTCATCAGAAACAGGGAAACCCTCAACGAGGTGTCACCGTAGTCCCGCTGAAGCCGGCTCAGTCTGCAGCCTCAGACGTTACCGGCAGGCTTGAAAGATTATTTAGTCTCCTCTGCTTCAGACACCGTGCTTTTCGTGATGATGATGATGTTCATGGTTACAATTGCAATCACCAGTAGTATTACTACTTCTGTTATTGTTATTGAATTTGGTATTGCTGTTCTTAGTACTATTATCATGGCTCAACAAGAGCAGCGGTTCCTTCTTGCACCGTAGCGCTGTGGTTCAGTGGGTTGAAAGACTCGCAGCAGTGTAGCCCAGCGCATTAGAACCCTAGTCATAGTCACGCCCTAGTCGTTTTGTGGAGGCTTCTACTATGGATAATTACCAATTAATACTATTTTTGGGGGTTCTTTATTACAAGTATAGTATAATGGTCCCCAAACCCGATTCTAGTTATTAAGGCCCCCATCTCATAGGAGCATTTGCGTGGTTGCTTTAATCGGAAGTTCAGGATCGACGTTTGTTTTGTAGAGCGACTGGATTCACTGGATGTGGGGTTTCTGGCTCAAGGAACTTGGTATTCTGAACCCTAATCCCAAGCCCGTTGCAAACCCTATGCTAAATCGTTCGGCATTCGGTTCAGGTTCTTCGGAGACGGACCTTGAGGGTTCCAAACCCTCAACCCTGAACCTTAAACCCTCGAGCCCAGCATGGTTGTCAAGTTGCTTACGGTTGTCGCCCATTCCTGCCGTAAACTTCCCTAAGCCCCTAAACCCAGTAACGGTAGCAGTGAGACCTCGAAGCCGTGCCTGCGTGAGCGAGCGTGCGTGTCGAAACCCAAACCCCTAAAACGTGGAGTCTAGTCTAGAGTATCTAGGAACCCACCACGTCTGCTGCTCAGGTGCCCTGTGTGCAGGAAGGAGATGCTCCCCTGATGGGTTGCAGGTTTAGGGTTTCGAAGTTAGGGTTCCCTAAACCCTAAACCCTAAACTGTAGCCCTAGGGATCAAAATAGCCCAAAAGCCTTACATATCATATAGTATGGTCTTTGGGCCCAAAAGCCTTAATATATGAGTCCTTAGATCCCTACAGGGTAATTAGGGAGGTTTAGGGGAAAAGCTTTGGGCTTAGGGGTTCGGGGCTTGGGTTTGGAGTCATCACCTTTCTGCGTGGGTCCCATGCGAAGATGAGCCAGGGAAAGCCAGGGCTTCCCTAGAAAGCGGTCGAGCTCTTGAAACCGGCCTGGCCGAATCTCTGTGCCCCCAAAAAGCAATAAATTGAGATTTAGAAGTTGGGATCTTCATGTTCTTTTGCCCAAACACAATCTCTGTGCTTGAGGCCTAAGAGGGCCTGTTTGAGCAAAGCTGCAGGGGGGTTTCAAGAGTAGCCTGAAAGCTCTGAGACTCCAGGATCGTGTACTACTTGTCATTCTTGTTGGTCGTACTAGTGGTATGAACAACACGAACATCATGAAAATAGCAATAATATGGATGATCATCGCAGCATCCAGACGAATCATGACGACATGTATAGACCAACAGGTAACACTAGTAACACTAGTAACTAGTAGTGCTAGTAATACTAGTAGTACTAGTAATACGAGTAACAATAGTAATATTGACAATAGTAACCTCAATATTAGCCATAGTCAAAACTGCACTGACTTTAACAACTACACTCGTAAGGCTAACGCTCAAAGTTGTAATCACCGTCAGAATAACAACAGCGATAATCAGGATCACATTGCCAGGCAAACAAGATCATGGACATTACAACAGCCACATCATAATCACACCACAGCCGTAGCCGTTATCATATTCATAAAAATAGTACGAACACAAATAAACGTAATACACATAATGACAGTCATAGCCCCAATAACAAGTAATATAAATGACAGTAGTAACACATGACACCAGTAGTAAACAGAATGGTGATATTAGCAATCACAACAATAACAGTAATAGTGGCAACAATAACAATAACACCAATGACAACGACAATATGTTGTTGCTGATTGTTGGCGCCGCTATTACTATGATAGTTAGTGCTGTTGCAATCATGTTTCGGACGATGGTTCCTGCTTAATGATCCCTTACGATCAAGCCGTAAACCCCGGAAAGTGAGCGGAATTTTGGAGTCTCTGGGTTGCACAAGATGTTCCAGCGCAGGGGAGGCGTTTTTAGATTCGTGTGCCCCCCGATCTCGGGCTACAAAAGCTGGCACGGCTTCAACCTCAGTCCCGCCCCCGCGTCCGAAAAGACGTAAGAGCAATGTAGGGATGAGGATAAGGGCTTTGAGCTGAGTCACTGAGTCTTGTATGCCCTGGCGGCAAGTGTTTTCGTAAATTCTGGCCTGGAAGACAGAACGACAAACTAGGTTTGGTGAAACCCTCGGCTCTGCACCCTAAACAAACCCTTAAGTCAGCCCAAGAGATAACAGCAGACTTTCAGAAAGACTGGTGAAAGCCCAATGCGGCTTTTTGAATGCCTGCCTAAGATTTTGCCTATGGTTTGCCGTTTAGGACTTAGGTCCTAGGGTCTTGGGGGTTGGGTTTTATCAGAGGGTCCCAGAAGCCCCAAGGTTTGAGACGAATTTGACTGCAGTTGCTCGAACTGATGTAAGGGACCTCGGAGGTGCAGCGGTTTTAATGAAATAAACTTGATGAGATAAACCGTAGAACGAGCCCTGCCGTCTCGCAGACGAGAGGCCTTTCAGCAATGTGGAGGCCGAATCAGTCGGCAACATTTCTGTACATTATTATTCCCTTGTCCCTAATACAGTTATTGTATAACATACCCTCAGACCCTACTGAAATTTTCAAGGCCCTTTGAACAAAACACGTTTCGAGGAAGCGTACCTTGGAAGAGGCGACGAGCGAGCTCCTCGCACTAAACATCAAGCTCTATACCCTACCTTAACCCCAACTAACCGACCTCTTTTCACGACTCATATAAGGAAATCATAACAACTAACTTCAAGGAACCCTAACCTACATCCTTAGGGTCCAGGTAAACCGTGTTTAGGGTTTAGGGTAAACCCTGCTCTCTAAGCCCCAGCCGAAGCTTAAGGAGCCCGGAGATGTTTCACCCAGCAGCGCAAAGCTTTCCCTTTCCCAAGTGGTAAGAACGTAGCCACGGGGTTTAGGGGTTTCATTGCAGTCCCTGCTTAAAAAAGGGATTCAGGGGTTCAGGGTTTAAGGGTTAGCATAGGGTTTAGGATTCAGGGTTTGGCAGCTGGCAGTTTCAACAGTCAGAGGTCCTTAGCTGGCAGTTTCAACAGTCGGAAGTCCTTACAATGAGGGTTCTGATATTCTTGGGGCTTCCCTCTTTTTTGTGGAACTTGCGCACAGCGATGCGGCTCCTATTCTCCTTGTCGGGTTGAGGGGGCCAGTGAGGGGCTTCCAGTTCCGGCTCAAGATTCTTATGGGGTGTGTTTTGGGTCGTGGAAGTTGTAGCAAGAGCCGATTCTAAAATCGACTGAGGCGTTTGCGTGCGTCACTACGAATGTTTTTGGAAACGTTGAGGACAGATTTGAGTCAATCGGATCAGGCTCAAGGCTTTTAGGTTTAGAGCCTAGGGGCATGTTGAACGATTGTGCGGTCGGCTTGTAGCAAGCGCAGGAAGCGCAATGGGAGCAGCAGTGGAAGAAATCATAGCAGCAAGCCACCACCGCAGCATTCTTAATGCTCATACAAGCAGACCTTGTTGCCAGTGTGGCACACTACAATGTGTTACAAGTAGTCGTAGAGCGGAAACTGACACAGATTATGACAAAGCTCAGGCTGGTTGCCAGATGACTCTTATAGCAGGAAAGCCAAAGACAAGAAATGGCTAGTATAGAGGGCGGCAATCGTCACCGCACAATTAAGTTAAGGTACTTTCGGGGCACCAGCTTGCCAGATAGCTGCCGACAAAGATGCAGATACCCAAGAATCCTTACGTCGAGGTTTGCTGATCGAGGTGGAAAGCTGCCAACAATTCGATCGTCAATACCCGTCGAGGATGCACTAGGTAGCCAGTTTCCGCCAATCTCGTCCGATGCTTCTGACAGAGTCCGGGCTGTTTGGGCCCGAAGGGTATGTGTTCAAACCTGTGACCTTCCCCTTATCCCTCAACCCTGAAGCCTTAGATCCCTTCTTGCAGTCTCGATTTCGAGCGAGTTCCTTGCGGTGCGACTAGTTCAGCTTGGAGGGTGGCACACAACCCTCTAACCCCTGCCTAAAGCCCTACAGCAAACGACTTCAAAGCAGCCAACCTGCGACTTTTGCACCGGAGTCTGAAGGATTGGAAGACCATCTGAATCTGGCGACATGCCACGCCCCCTGGGCTTCAGCTGTCTGAGGTGCGAGAGCAACAATCACTAACAAAAGCAAAGCGACAAATTAGTAGACGCTGCCATCATCATCGCCTTCCTCGTCCAGAAGTACATGCGTGTCCGCATTGTCGTTGTCCTCTTCGTCGTCCTGGTTGCAGCAGCAACTGCAACTGCTATGACTGCCGGATCAGCTGCATCTGCAAACGCAACTGCAACCAGAGTGCTGACCTTTGAATAGCTGTAGGACTTGAAGCCAGAAGAATCTGGTGCCTTTTAAGAGGAGTAGCAAGATTGGCATAGTTAGCCGACCGGCCAGCGCAGGCGGCGATATCACCCTCACCAGCTAGGTCCTTCTGCAGCATGCAGATAGTGCAGCATGCGAGCATCTCTGCTGACAAGCCCGGGCGCACTAGCAGGTGACAGGAAGAATGAGCGCTCAAGGGGGTCAAGAGGTTCAAGCTGGCAGTTGGGACATGCTTCATTAAGCCTTAAACTGCGGTTTAGGCGGACCTGTCACTCCAAAGAGAACGAGCTCAGGAGATGTCTGACCAGAGCGCAAGGAGACAGGAATACAAAAGCTGTGCGATGAGGCGTGAGGGTTTAAACCATAAACCCTGAGCCCGGGATTTCTCCTCCTCGGTTAGGCATGATCCCGTAGTCGGTTGAAATCCGACCATGTGACCTTGAGACTTCATCTGCCTTGCAAGAGCGATTCCCGAATCACAACATGGCAAACACTACCCTAAACTCCAGACCCCTAAACCCTTAAACCCTATAAACCCCTAAACCCTAGACCCCTAAACCCCAAAACCCTATGAAACCCTAAACCCTAAAGCGTGTCCGAGTGTGAGCGTCGAAACCCTAAAGCGCGGCTTTGTGTGCAATTGCTGAGGCATGCAGAGCGGGGAGTCCTCTCCTGAGTTTACCTTTAAGGGGATCTATAAGGGTACCTTTAAAGGGATCTATAAGGGTACCTTTAAGGGGATCTATAAGGGTAGGGTTGCCGCTTCAAGGCGTTTGAGCGTTCAGGGTTTGCGTTGGGACATAGGGGTTCAGAGTAGTGGGCTGAGGCTGGAGTTGAGGTTTTAGCTTCAGGAACTCGTGGGAGATTTGCTTTCTTTGTGACGGGGTGGGGGTGGGGGGGGGGGGGGGGGGGGTTTGGGGGAAGGGGAGAGGGGGCGGGGGGGTTGTGGGGCGTTATGTTTGTATAAGGGGCCGTCATTGGTTCTGCCGGCCCAGACATTCTGCTTTAACCCTAAACCGCCTGAAGCCATGCCTGCCTTGTGCGAGTGTGTGAGTCGGAACCCTAATCTCATAGCACTTAACACCAATATCACAGTCGAGATACTCTTTTGCTGCTGTTGGTTGTAAGAATGCGTGTATGTGTGTGTATTATGTATGTATGTATGTATGTATGTATGTATGTATGTATGTATGTATGTATGTGTGTATGTGTGTATGTATGTATGTATGTATGTATGTATGTATGCATGCATGCATGCATGCATGCATGCATGTATGTATGTATGTATGTATGTATGTATGTATGTATGTATGTATGTATGTATGTATGTATGTATGTATGTATGTTCGTGTGTGTGTGTGTGTGTGCATGCATT